GGTTGGAAGCCACCGATACAGAAAAAGGACAGAGCAGCGGGAAGCACGTTGGTGATGGAGTGGAGTGGGACCTGAGGGCGGAACTGCGGGAGGGACGGCGGTGGAGGTGGGTGCTGCCTTGCCTGGCAGGACCCCAGTAAGGGTCTGGGCTGGGAGTTGGCAGTGGAGGGGCGAAAACGAGAAGGTAGAGCAGAAACATGCGAGTTCATTTAAAGCCTGCTTATAGGCCGTCCCCTCAGGCAGCTCTTGCAGACTGACTCCTGGCGAGGATTGGCCAGGCTCCTCTTAAAGCCAGCTGAACAGACTGCCTGGGGAGAACCACGACGCTGGGGCGGTTTAAGGACTTCAGGGTAATGGCACGAGGCGTGGGGGGCTGAGGAGTGGGCGGAGGGAGGCTCCCTCACCTGGGCTGGTTTCCCAATCTAATGCAAGGTGCCAGTCAGTGAGCCTCCCACACACACACAGCTCCCAGCCAGCGTTTCCATTTTGGAAGAGTTTTAGCTGGGAAACAGACCTACTTACACAACAGCAAAGAAAGCATATACCAGCTACCAGAATACTGGAGACAATCATCAATCATTTGACATATAAAGAAAATCAAAACATAAATGACAAAGACCAAGAACAGCTGATCCTCAGGAAAATGGGTAATTCTAGGAACTTTTAAAACTTTGATTAATACCATCTTGGAGACCTGAAAGCATTTTTTGCATCCATAGAACTGAGACATCATGCTGTGAGGAAAAATAAAAAGAACCATCAAGAAAGCAAGAATATAAACACGTGATTGCTGGGGAGAAAAACAGAAGGGTTAGAAGAGGAAAAGAGAGATAAAAAAAGGTGGATAAGGACATAAAACAGGACTGACTTCCTCACTCACTCCACTGTGGTAGACTGTTCTGAAAGAAGTTAGTAGGTTTTCTTAAACACTTGTTTTACGTCTTGGGTCCTGGGAATTTAAGTGTAATGAGTGTTCTAAGTCTTTAGTATCGCTAAGTGAAATACTTGTTCTTAATGCTGTACTTCTCCAGCACCCTCTGTGATTCTGAGGTGGCTGAGGACTGGACAGTCAGCACAGGGGTCTCTGAGGAGCCACAGAGGGAGGGGGCCTGGTATCCTTCAACAAGAACCGCCCAGGCCTTCACTGAGAATCTTAAGGCGCCATCTGCAGGTCTATGAAGCTGACTTATCTAATGACAGCCATTAGAAGCAGCGAACTGGGAGGAAGGCAGTATGGGTCCGATAGATAGTATTTTGAGAAAAACTGGACCTATGTACCCAAAAGCACATAGCACATAGGGGTCATTTAAGAGACCATTAAATTATTTTGTGCCTCCAGACCCCCCAGGACTCTAGTCTTTGGTCTTAATGCTATTTTTGGGACAACAATGCAAGGGTAAAAGATGTTCAGAATAAGAAAATACCGTTGTCAGGAAACAAATGATTGTTTTGTCATTGAGAGATGTGAACTTCAGCTATCTGTACATTTGCTTAAGTGACCGGTCCTTTGAAGAAGGAGAGATAATGTACCACTGTTGTCTTAAGCTGCTATGGGGTGCTAAAAGACCTCTGGAAATCTGGCTTAGAGGCCTGAGTGTGTCTCCTGATCTTCACTTAACTGCGGTTTCCTCAGTGAAAGGTGAAAACTCAGCCTGTCAAGACTGAGTAAGAATAAAATGAGATGACGTGAGTACATGTCCTGTTGCCCTGGAAAGTCTGATGGATGTTTCAGGTCTTTAGTTTGTTCTTATGTTTTAAAATATTCCTCAGAGGTTTAACTCTGGTGGATGACTTGTCTGAAACATTACTGACCATCTCTGCAATTTCCAATTGCTTTCCAGATTTCTATATTCAGATGAAGTTCAAATTGGCCCAGAAACAGTTATGACCACTCTTTATACTGCTAAGAAATACGCAGTCCCAGCCTTGGAAGCACACTGTGTGGACTTTCTCACCAAGCATCTCAGGGCAGATAATGCCTTCATGCTACTTACTCAGGTAAGTCAGTATAGATATGGAATATACCATCATAGCTTGGAAAAGTGAGTGTAACTACATATAAATATTTGATACTTCCTCGAGAGTTGTTCTAGATCATTATTTTAAAGTACACATTATTATTCTTAGAGTACCATTTAGGGAACTCTCTCAGATTTATGCAATTTTAGAAAAGAAAAGCAAAATAGAGTTAATGCAGTACCATATAGATAAAGAAATGGAAGCCTTATATAAGTAGGGCGTTATGACTCAAAGTTATGTAGCTGTTTAGGATTGGAGTTGGAGTAGGGCAGTGTCATTTTTTTTTTGATAGCATAAGGTGTTCTGGACATCTTTGTTCTCAGTTTTCGTTGGATCTGGAATTAGGACTAAGTATTTGAAGTCCCAACAGTTCTCAGGTCCACTGTCTTTGGACTTGTATTTGTATCATAATAGTGATAGCAACAGATACTGAGTGGTTATTGTGTGTCAGGCACCATTCTGAGCACTTCCTATGCATTAATTTATTTAATCTTTACAAGAACTGTAAGAGGTATAAGTGGACTAGGTAAACGTTTTCTTACTGTCCCCGTTATAGATAAGGCAGTTGAGGCCCAGAGAGGTGAAGTAGCTTGACCGAGATCCTATAACTAATAAGTGATATTTTCCTGCATTTTTTTCCTCTTTTGAATTTGTGATGAAAATCTAATGAAGCTGATATTCCTAAGATTCTTTATTGTCTAGGGGAATTTAGGGACTGTAGAGAAGAATACTTAACTACTTTATTTTGAAAGTTCAGTCATAAAATTCAGAAACCAATAAATTAAACTTTGACAGTTAAAATATATTTTCCAGTTCAGTAGGCCCAAGGTGGGGCCTGAGAGTCTGCGTTTCTCACAGTCCCCCAGATGGCCCCCAGATGGATGTGATCCAGTGCTTCTGGATCACACTTTGAGTAGCAAGGGCTGCAAGAGAAAAAGAACTTTTCAGTGTCTTCTCGGTCTGAGAGCCCAATATTACTCCAGATTTTTCATTGGTTGGGTCATATGAATTAGCCCACAAATTGTCATGTGAACTTCTGGTTCCTGCCAAGTGAGTCATATGAACCAAGCCTGTTACTGGAGGGGAAGCATGCCAGACTTTACTCGCAATACAAAGGGCTAGTTCTGTGCCAGCATGATTTACACGGGGAAGAACACTTTATGAAGTGATACAGTCATAGTGATATTTTAGCAGAGATAATGCCAGACTCTAAGTGACAGCAATAGATTCCATAGGAAACTTGATACTGCCTTTATAATCTGACCAATTGAAGTATTGCTACTCTGAATACAATAATTTTTACCAAAAAATTGTTTTTCCTAGAGTGAAAGATCAATTTTTTTCATGAACACTAATTAAAAATACAGTTGAGTTGGCCAGTTAAAATATTTGCAGATATTAGAATTTCATTTGTTAAAAATATACTGTTTTTCGTATTTTAAGAATACATGAACTATGATTCTAGACAGGATCCTATGCTAGAAGGAAAAGTGTTATAAAAAACATTGGGTCAATTAACAAAACTGAAATATAGTGTATTAGATAAAAATATTGTATTGTTATTCATGAAATTAGTTACTAATAAGAGAATATCCTTATTCTTAGGAAATACACACTGAAATATTTAAGGGTAAAAACTATGATGTATGTCATTTATTCTCATGATTCAGCCTAATATACATAGCCTACTTTTTTATGCATTAATTATTTTGATCATTAAAGAACCCTCTAGGTTACATAAAGCAGACATTATCCCACTTTATTTATATACACACACACATTCTATTATGCAGATTTTATTTAGGGCTAAAATTTATTAAAAATTTGACTAAGCAAATTAATATACACAAGCTCAGTATATAATCTAAGAAGAGCATTTTCGAACATATTTGAGTATTCTATAATTTTAAGAAACATTCTGATTTAAAAATATGTTTATATGTCTGTAAGTATAATTATGTATCATATATATATTTAAAATTTAAGCCAGTGTGTTTAATGTATTCTCTCCCTCATAAAACACAAGATAACTTAAGCGATGTTTCTCATTTGTTCAGTAACATCTGAATTATCGAATCCTTTGAAAATGAATTTTACTTTAAAATTAAATGAAGAGTCATCAGCCATACCAAATAATGGTGTCATTTATGGTGTGGTTAACTAATTGACAGTATTTTGAGCAGGTTTCTGCATGACCCAGACCCAGCATGAATGCCTTTGAGTCCATGCTACTAAATGTGAACAGCTGACACTAGGCCAGAATGACAGACTAACATACCTGTCATCTCACATCCTTTTTCAGCGTTACGGCTTTTAAAAACCTCATTTGAGTTTGGCTTCTACCTCCCTGCCCCCACTAGCTTTTTAACTTGTTTTTTGAATTATAATGTGGATTCTGATAAGCATACATAAACTTGACTTCTGACATCATAAAGCCTAGATTAGCTTTGCTGGAATCATATAGTGTATACTCTTCAGCTCAGTATATAATGTGGCTTCTTTTGTTTATCATTAGGTTTGCGGGATTCATCCATATTGTTATCTGTAGTTGTATATTTTCATTTTCATCGTCGTACAGTATTCTGTCACGTAATTATGTGAATTTATATATTTGCTCTTCTGTTGTTAGGCCTCGTTTTTGCTTAGGTTTCCAGAGCTTTCATACTTTAAAATTTTTGTACTTCATCCTCTCCCCCTAATCAAAATAGGAAATGGGGAAAAAAATCGAATCTGTTAGTGCTGGTCTGCTTAACAACCGATATTGTTTAGTAAAAAGATCACTAGACTTGGCTTTAAGTACTGGCTTTGCAACACAAATAGCTAGACATTAGGCAAGTCAGTACACCTCTTAGCCTCTGTCACCTCATCTGGAAAATGGTATAATGTCTGCTTTATTTAATATAGGTGTTTGTTAAGGATCAAAACGAGTAATGCATAAGAAACTAGGCAGTATCTATATAATCATATGAAGATACAAATGCTGGGGTTGGTAGTGGTTGTGAATTTGTTATCTCAGGGGGGCATTTGTGCTTTTTGCTTTTCATTTCTGATAGTGGAATAAAAAGTTTTAAGAATATATAGATGTTATAATTGTATTTTAAGTAGGAGTTCTTACATAATTAGCAATTGTAACTGTTTACAGTATTAACTTTGAATGTGTACTGCCTGAAGGTAAAATAACGATGGAAGTAAAAAAATTATCTGCATATGTTTAGGCTCGACTATTTGATGAACCTCAGCTTGCTAGTCTTTGTCTGGACACAATAGACAAAAGTACAATGGATGCAATCAGTGCAGAAGGCTTTACCGATATTGACATAGGTAAGGTCACTGTGAATTTAAGTTTTACCTGTAAGTACAGTAACTCCTTACCTTGTTGGTGGATGAGTTGTTTTCAAATTAGTGGTTTTTCCAAGTGATCTAAGTCTGCCTCTTTAAGAGTTTTGCTTTCTTTATTTTGGTGAACTGTTCGTAAAAGTCTTAACTACCTTATTGCCTTTTAAATGACGTCAAATCAAATCAATATTTACTGACCACCCACCATGTATATAACATTATCCTAGAGTCTTAAAAGAAATACAAAGGGTGAGATGTGATTTTTCTTAAGGAAACTCATCAAATTGGAGAATCAAGAAACAAATATGTGAACGTTAAGATTTAAGACATCAATAGAAGAGTCGGCATATGACAAAATGTGATTTTTGCCTTTTCTGAACTAGAATGTAGAAATAATTGCTATGTAAATCCACAGCATGAGGAAGTTACTTCCAATTATAATAGTGGTAGGAAAATCTTGACAGAGGAAGTTCTGATAATAAATATTTGGCTAACAAAGAGGGGAGGGCGTTAGAGGCAACGTTAGAGGCAAGTGCACCGCACAGAGAAGTATATGCAGGGGAAGGGAACTACAAGGCGGCTGAAGCCAGGCTGCGGAGGACGACCTGCTGGCAGGCCGAGGAGTCTGAATCGTGTCTTGTAGGAGGGTGTCTTGTGGTTTGAAAAATTATCTTCATTGTGTTGAACCCAAAATATATATCTTCAACCCTGTCTTCTTCTGGGCGCCAAATTTATATGCCCAGCTATTTACTTGGCATCTTCACTTGGAGATTTTATAAGCATTTCAAACAACACAGCTGAAAGAGACCTATTGACTGCCCACTACTACCGGCCAACTCTTCTGCTTCTTTCCTTTTATTTTTCACTCTTAGTGGCGCCATCATGCACCTGTTGACTCACACCCAAAACCTGGAAGTTATTCTTGATTATTCTCTTTTTTTCATGCACCACGTGCATTTTATCAGTGAGTGCTCTCAGCTCTACTCTCAATATGTAGCCCGAATCTGAGCGTTCCTTACACATCCATGCTACCACCTAGTCCCAGCCACCGCTCTCTTTTACCTGGATCACCTCTGCAGTTTCCTGTTGTCTCCCTGCTTCCACCCACTCTTGCATTCATACAGTCCGTTCTCTACACAGCAGCAAATTTAAATCACAAATCAGATTGTATCACTTTCTTGCTTTCAGTGTGTTCCCACTGCAGTTAGAAGAAAATTCAAACTCCTTACAAAGCTTACAAGACCTTACATGATCAGGCCTTGTGTTAGTCAGTAGGCTAGGCTTGACTGTGGTAACAGACCCAGAAATGCATGTTCAACACGTTCGCACAAATAAACCCAAATTGCATACTGGCTTAGACACGATCGAAGTTTATTTCACAACCCCATAACAGTCCAAGGCAGTGTCTTGGCCTGTGAGGAGCTTTTTCTGTCTTGTGGCTCTGCCATTCCCTAGGGTGTAGTTACTATTTGATTTTGCTGGCAGACAGGAAAACTGAAAACTCATGGGTAGGAGAAACATCTTAAAAGCTGCAGCCTTGAAATGGCACCCCCTTATTTCATGGTACAGAATTCAGTCACAAGATCCCATCTAAATTCAGGGCTGGCTAGGAGCTGCAAAGTACTCACATCCCAGGAGGAAGAGAAAACAGATTTTTTTTGTAAACAGCTGGTAGTCACCACTTACTTCTGTCTATATCTGACCTTGTCTCCTGCCATTCCCCCCCTTATTCACTATGTTCCATGTCCACTGGCCGGGTTATTTCTGTTTGAAGCCTTTGTATTTTCTATCCTTCTGATTAGAATCATTTCCCCCTGATTCTTCATATGGCTTCCTCCTTTTAATCATTCAGATCTTGGGTTAAATGACACCTGAGAAAGGCCACCTCAAACCTACTTAAAGTAGATATCACGTTCCCATAAACAAATCCCTTTTCTGTTTCTCTGATTTATTTTTCTCATAATACTTAGCACTATCTGAAATTCTTACCAGAGGTATTTGTCCATTTATGTATGTGCCGATCGTCTGCCTTCCCCTTCTAGATCGCAAACTCCTGAAGGTAGGGACTCTGTGCTGTTTACCGCTGTATTTCTAGCGCTGAAAGCAGTAGAACATAGTACGTGTTCAGTTGCTATTTGCTGACCGGCTGGACTGGCCGGCTGTGTCTAGAATGTTGCCTTTCTGTCCCACCTTGGCTAGTTCTTCCTCAGTCTTACTGTCTTGTCTCCGATTATACCTCTGTAGTGACTCCTTTCTTTAGAACTGACACCCCACCCTCTCCCATGACATTTACTATGTTCCTGTTACGGTAACATTCCATCTTTAGTTTCCTGTCTGCAAGACACCTCAGGAAGGGTTATACTCCCCTGGCATCATCCCGAAGGACGGGACTAGTTCAGGTTCCTCCTCAGCACCTGCACGTTGTGTGCTGTAGAATTTTTGTTGAGTTACTGGATGTTTGAGAGCCCCGAGCACTGCCCACATTGTTAACGAAGCACTGTTTGATCCTAATTTCCTTCCCTTTGAGGGGCCGTCGGGTGCTCCATTTGTACTTCAGTCTGCTACTGTTATTTGAAATAATGCGGCCTGCTTCTGGGTGACTTCCTCCTGGAGTCGCCATGTAAATGGCTCCTACACGAGGCGTGCCAGTGGAGCCTGGGAATCTTGAAGTCAGTGCCTTGCCCAGAGTGAATACCCCATGAATATTTGTCACTTTGATTTGACTCATAGCTGCTTATGTTGAGATCCAGTGTTGTGTTATGTTTAAAAGACAGAACTCAGGTGTTCGATGTCTTTATTAGTCTCTTGGCCGTAACTTCTGACCGTCTGCCAGAAGAAGCCTAAGTGTTTCCACCATAGTCTAGTTTGCTTCAAATGTACTTGCTGAAAATGGAATGCAAGAGAAGTCTAGGAGCTGAGAGGAAGGAGTGCCTAACTTTGGGAGCTTTTTTTTAATGGTTTTTTAGATCGTGGAGTTGCTTTTTTATATCTGGCATTTGGATATGTGTTCTAGAGGGGTGTGCTCACCATTTTCCAAGTAGAGAGATATTGTTTCTCTCTCCATTGATAGAACAAAATGAATTTACACTATGCCATGGGCAGTATAATGTGCTTTTTGGGGGAGTCATATTTTAAGTTTCTGTATTTACCTTTACTGAAGTTATTAGCATACAAGGTAGAGAAATGTGGGTCCAAAGTCGTTAATTTTTATTTCAATGATTAAATATTATGGACATTATATATTCCTAATCCTGCAAGAATCGAGATATATAGATTGATATTTATTTGCTTGTGAAAAAGCTTCATGGAGCCCTAGTTCATACTCCACTGCTAGGTACAGGAGAAGCTTGATTTTCCTTTTTTTTAATCTGTTCATTTTTAACATACTGCTGAGCTCCTGCTATGATCTGGAGACTCGATGTCTTTGCCGGGATGATAGCTGTGTTTGATATTAAACAAATATTTGATTCTAAAATGAATATGTAGACCATTGCAGAATAGAATTTTTAAAATATAGGTCTGTAGTTTTAAGTGTCCAACCTATTTTTATTGAGATTTGAAAACTGTATAAGCAGGTTTGTCAGTATCGTTTTGTTAAAGAGCAAAATATTCCTAATTGGATTTGTTTTTGTATTTACCTATAGACACACTCTGCGCAGTTCTAGAAAGAGACACACTTAGTATTAGAGAAAGTCGACTTTTCGGAGCTGTTGTACGATGGGCAGAAGCGGAATGTCAAAGACAACAATTGCCCGTGACCTTTGGAAACAAGCAGAAAGTTTTGGGAAAAGCACTGTCCTTAATCCGGTTCCCACTGATGACCATTGAGGAGTTTGCAGCAGGTAGGGCAATAACTTGACCAAAATCTTTTTGAAACTGTTTTCATGGGCAGCCAGTCAGTCTCTGTGTGCGAGAGAGGACAAGAAGCAGCTAGTGATCAAGTACTATTCACCTTTCTGGTCACATGATATGTGCGTGCATGTGTGTGTGTGTGTGTGCGTGTGCACGCGTGTGTGTAATTTTATTCTAATAGCCCTTCAAGATAATATTATAGGTTACATATTTTTAAATTGATACATGTATTTTAACATATTTTATATATTATCAATATATACAGAGTGTATTTTATGGGTTAGAGAACAGAACTTGAGAGTTTTAAGCGCCTTGCCCAAGGTTAAGGGCTTTATGACGACTGAGGTTTCCGTGTAACTCTGTGGTCTCTTACCAGCTCCCTTCTGCTTGAGTTCTTGGTCTCATCGTCTCCTCTTGTGTAGAAATTGGCAGAGACAGAAATTGTGCACAAAGTGTTGGCTATATTTCTCTGTTATTCCTTTTCTGCAGGATGATTGGCTGGCTGCCTTGGTGCTGTGAATTCCAATTTTTGCCTCCTCAACCAAGTCAGGACCAGCACAGTTTCTAGGCTGCCAGTTTCTGTTTGGCATTTATGCCCTGTGAAGCAAGTCAGCAAATATCCCAAGTAGTAACAGGTACAGGGCTTCGTCTCAGTGCATTTCCCTTCAGGAGCACTGACCGCCCCAGTTCTTTGCTAACTGGAAATAGCTATTTCATGTGTTTCATCCATAGTTGTCCTCTGACACAGGCTGGTCCGTCCTGCGGAATTCTTAACATTCTGATATAGTCAAGTAATGTTTCTTCTTTTGCTGTTAGGCATATTCTTTCCCCATATTATCTTTATATTTTAAAAAATGTTTAAATTTATTTTTTTTTTTTGACTAAAGATTTGGAAGTTATAAATTTTGTATTTACCCCCCCCCTCAATTTTCCTAATTCTCTATTTTATAGTAAAACAATATTTTTTGACTTACCTATTTAAGACAAAAATGTTAGAATGGTATATTCTTCCTTTCAATCTTTCCAGACGGCTTTGTGGTAACTGATTATGTGCGCGTGTCTGCGCGCGCGCGCATGCACGCACGCACACACCCACCCACCCACCCCATATTGCAATAATGCAGTTACAGTATTAGACTTCATTCGATGTTGGATTGGTTTTAGTGCTCACTGCCAGTTCTTCTGTGACACACCTTGAATTCTTACTTTGATTCGCCCCCTCTGTTAACTGGAGTGCATCTCTGCTTTTCTTCAGATGGGTACGTAGTACGTATCTGAGAATGTTCTTCGTGATCTGAAGACTGCTCTTCACCTAAGGAAATTTTATTATAGTCTTGAATTATTGCATCATCCTATATCTTATTGTTAGTTCTTCAGGAACGCTAATGTTTAAAAATCAGGAGTTTTACATTAAATATGAATTTGTAGTTTCCTAAACCAAATTTCTAGTTTATTAATTATTTTTTGCAGTTTTTAATTTTTAATTTAGTTTTGTGTTCTCTTATTTAGATTGTTTTTACCAGCCTTGCAAAGGATCTCCTGATCTTTAATGAGGAACAGCATTTATTCCTCGATACGTTTGGGCTGTTTGGAATTTTCCTGTTAGAAACAGTGAATGGGAAACCATAACACATGATCTACTGCTTCCACAGCCCTTCCAGTTTTAGCTCCTGCCCTCTGCTCATGCATAAACCCCAGAGTGAAAGCATATTCCATCTACTTCCACCTCTGCATATGTATTCCATTGTTGGGATTATAATCTCAGACAGTTATCAGGTGGGGAACAGAGAAGTCATAGTGGCTCTGGCTGCCGTTGTAAGCATTTCCCCACCACAGGAAATGACTCTCCTCTTCCTGGTGAGCGGCCTGTGGTGCTGAGAGTGGGTGAGTGGATAGAAAACTCAGACACCTTTCTGTGATCTCAGGCTTTCATTTAAGCTTTGATTCATTCATGGTTTTAACACTTACATTTTATTAGGTTAACCTCAGATGGATTTAGAAAAACCTTAAAATTAATTATATTCTAAAATTGTATATGCTAAGCTCTTTCTACCTCATCGTTACTTTACATCTTCCAGATTTGAATTCACATTATTATGCAGAGTATTATAAAGTTAGGAATTAAAATCAAATTGCTTTTATGGAGGTTTATATTTGTCTTTCTGCAGGTCCTGCTCAGTCTGGAATTTTGTCAGATCGCGAAGTGGTGAATCTCTTTCTTCATTTTACTGTCAATCCTAAACCCCGAGTTGAGTACATCGATCGACCAAGATGCTGCCTCCGCGGAAAGGAGTGCTGCATCAACAGATTCCAGCAGGTGGAGAGCCGCTGGGGCTACAGCGGGACAAGCGATCGGATCAGGTGCCTGTCATACCGTGGCCTGGGGGTGGGCTGGGGCGGCAGTTAGCATTCGGCTTTTATCCTCCTATTGTGGGAGATAATTAACCAACATTTTATTTTATGCTCTGTTTAATACATTTCTGACTTAAATACAAGAGCCAAGAAGTCAGTGAAGCATCCTGGTCTCCTCGCTGAGAGGAGAATGAGAGGATCTCTTAGGAAACATGGAAGATAAACAGATCCTGGGTTGGGCCTTCTGTTGCATGAATTCTGTTTGGATTGCCACGCTGGGAGCTGAGGTCTGGACCTTCCTTGAGCAAACTGTTTTTACAGCCTTAGGGCTACAGTTTAATACATTTTATCTTACTTTGTTTAGTGTGAGTTTTTCCTTTTCATGGACATTGCATGGACAATATCTCAGTATACGTTAATAAAAGCTTTGAATGGGGAAAAAAATTAAAAATCTTAAAAGACACTTGCATATAACCCTGTTAGGAATTTATCTTTGTTCTATTGTGTTTCTTTAGGTTAAATGTCAAAATAGAGTAGGGACCAGTTTTTGAAAAATGTCCCTTTTGGGTTTTTACTTATTTAATAGCACTTTTCTATAAAACTAGAAAGTAATAGCAAGTTTGTTAAAAATAGGACTCTGAGCGGGGAACACTCTTAAAAATACTGGATTAAAATGGAAATTAAAATGCATTTGTGGATTATTTAGTAATCATTCACAGTGAGAATACGGTATATGAAAGCATATAAAGGATGAATTGGTCAGGGTGTTACACAAACACAGTCATAATTAACTACTTTTACTAAATAAATTAGAATAGAAATAAATGATTGAAGCATTTAGCCCAAATAGCTAGAGAATGAATAGCAAAAAAAAAAAAAAGGAAAAGAAAAAGAAAAAAAAAGAAATAGGTAAATATAGAAATTAATGAATTAAAAATAGTACAACTGAGAAATCATAAGCCATAAGCTGGCTCCTGAAAAAGACCAATAAAATAAATAAACCTACAGGAAGACATACATTAGAAATAATGGGAATATATTCATATTCTGAGGAGATTTATACTTTAATTCTGGGTTTACTCTGTGCTAATAAATGAACATCTTGATGGAATGGATCATTTTATAGGCAAATATAAATTATCAAATTGACCGAAGAAGAAAGCCTGAATAGACCCATTACCATGGAAGGAATTTAAAGTTATCAAAGAACTGTCCCTTCACAAGGTGGTTTTTACAGGTGAGTTTTATCAAACCTTCAAGGAACAGATCATTTCCTTGAGCATTAAGAGAAGAAAATACTGATCCATTAATTATTGAAAAGAAGTATAACTGTTACACAGGAATCTGACAAGGCAAAAAATTTTCTAGATCTGTCTCACTTATATAGAAGAGGAAATCCTGTGTAAAATATTAGCATATTGAATGTAGTAATACCTTAGAAAATAATACTATATGGAGATTGAAAGAATGGCTCGATATTAGGAAATGTATTAATATAATTCACCACATGGCAGATCAAAGAAGAAAACAGTTTGTCAGCAGTTGTCAAAAGACTTTTTAAAATTTCACCTTTATCCCAGATGTGACCATTAATAGACTAGGTCTGGAAGAGCACTTCTGTGACGTGATGGACTGTTGACACCTCAAGATAGGAATGCCTGCTGACCTTGCCGTTTTCAGCAATGTTCAAGCCTCTTTATAAACACGTGTTTCACCACATGAATTCTGATAGGACACTTGAAATTTGATTGGGACTCTTTGTTTTGGGAGATTGTCCTAAGCATTGCAGTAAATCTAGTGTTGCGGGCCCCCTGTCCCCTGTAGTGCCCCTAAAACTTGGTGAAAACAAAAGCCTCCTGTGGCTTTTGAGAACAACCTCCGAATCAGTAAAAATGTATTAGAACCAACAAGAGAATAGTGACCACTTGTAAAATGTATGTGAAAAACCAATGATGTTCTATATGTCATGAAAATTTAGTTAGATGGATGGTTGTGATGGTTCACAACTAGTGAGTATACCTAACGCGTCTGAACCGTACCCTTAAAATGGATAAGGTGGTACACTTTGTTACTGTTACGTATTTTGGCACAGTAAAATAGTTTTTAAAAATGTTTAAATTTTCAGTTGTAATATTGAGTAAAAACAGATCTCCTTTACAATAGCAACAAATTAACATAAAAGAGCAGTGTTAAATCCCACAAGAGATGTACAGTGTAGCACCTTCATGAAGAGCTGGAGAACTTCAACTGGAATCAGAAAGGGTCTTTCTAAAGCCATGTAACTTAGGCAGTTCCTTTCAGATGTCACATGTTTTTGGTAGGGCGGAGTAGCCTGGCAAACTGTTCTAAAGTTAACCTGGAACAGTGAATGTTTCTTTTTCAAAAAAGAGTGGTGTGGCTCAAACATGGTAAGTATTATAAAACTGTAATAACTTAGTGTCCTATGGAAGATACCACAGAGTTCAGAGACCAGCGACCAGCCCAACGTAAGTGAGCATTTGGAATGTGAGGGGAGGATTAACCGCTGGGAAAGTAAAGTCAGATCCTTAACGATCCCATCTACCAATATTTGTGTAAATTAAAATTTTAACATTAAAAAAATGAAGCCACGAAAGTGCTGAAACAAGTGAATGTTTATTATGAGGATGGCATAGTTCTCTCTAAACTTGGCATAGATCATAATTTGACTTCAAGTAATTTAAAACGTTTATGCCCCAAACCACCATAAGGTTAAAAGATGAATGACAAACAGCATTTTGTAATGGGTATTACTGACAAAGCATAAATTACTATATACGATGGTCTTTCAGTTCCACATGAAAAAGATACTCAGCAGAGAAAATCGAGTAGCTCGTAAGCATATGACCAAACGTATCAACTCATTAATAATGAAAGAACTATAAGTAGATTTGTTGGTTGTTGAGAGTAAGGTAGATATGATCTTCATTTCTTGTGGAGTGTAAAGTATTCTAATCTTACCAGAAAGCAATTTGTAATTTTATCTAAAGCCTTAAGAATATGCCCTTCATCTTCCCCAGCAATTTTACTTCCAGGAATTTCTTCTAAGGAAATAATTAAGGCTCTGCAAAATGATTTAGCTATAAGATTGTCGATCATGGCATTGTTCTATAATAACAAAAACCACAGATCGCCTAGATTACCTCACAAGTAGTGGCTGTTACATATAATGCATCAGTAATAATCTTTTGCCTTTTTACATGAGAAAGAAGTTTAAAAAATATATATTGTGACACGATTTTAAAAATAACACAGACGTTCATAGGAAAAAAAAGTATTTTCCTGTTGTTAAAAAAGAGAACTAAACGTCTGAAAAAGAAATACACCAAAGGGTAAATGGGTGATGTCTCTGGATGGTGGATTTAGAGATGCCCTAAATCTTTACTCTTGTTTGTTTAGCTGCATTTTTTTAAAAGATACCGTATTTTTCTTTATAGTAAGAAAAAGCTGTAGTATAAATAATACATAAAAATTTGTAGGGTGGTACTCATGGAGTTTAACATAGTGGTTAGGAATGTGGGCTTTTGATCCAGGCAGACCTGGAATTGTGTCCTGGTGGAGGCAAGTTAAAATTCCTTTAAATCTCAGTTTCTTCAACTATAAAAAATGAGAATAATAAAAATGATACTGTGTTATTTAGTTTATAGAGCCGTTATGGTGTTAAAGGAAATAATTCATGTAAAGAACTGAATCAGCTCAGTGCTCAGCACAGGAAGTACCCTGAAGAGGTGGTTTTAACTATTACAACCATACACCTGTGTTTTAGGGCCTGTCCCAAGCCCTCCACCACGGTCCTGTTAGAGCAGCTTGCTTCCTTCACAACTCTGATCACAATTTATGAAGATTTATTCCTTTGTTTGTTATCAGTGTCCTCTGTTAGGCGTAAGTGCAGTAGGGTAGAGAGTCTGTCTTGTTGACCATCATTTCCCCAGTACCAGGCCGACTACCTCAGTTTGACAGGCTCTCGGTAAGTGCTTGAGGTTCATTGAGCTCATGATCTGTCAGAGCTTGGGACACTGGCCTGATGGCTGACATGTCTGTGCTCATGAAGGAGACGTGCAAACGTATTTGGACAAAAATCATCTTTACAACAATAGTGGGGGTTAAATTCCTTTGACTCAGGAATGTATAGTACAGAGAACAGGTGCAACTTCAGTTTCCGTCAAGTTACAATTTCTCTGGAAATTTTGGTCTTTTTGGTCAGCAGATGACATTTCCAAGGATATCTAATTTGTAATAGTTTTCCTTTTTATGAGCAAAATTAGGTGTTTTCAGTAACACTTAAAAAATGTATAAGCCTTGGGAATGTGAATGCTCACTAAATTATGTATGTTCTATATTTAACTTCATCCTTCAGGTTCACAGTTAATAGAAGAATCTCTATAGTCGGATTTGGTTTATATGGATCTATTCATGGCCCCACGGATTATCAAGTGAATATACAGGTACACTTTTCCCCCCACTATACATCATCTTGAAATAAAACAAACTTGTAATTATATAATTAGGTATTTAAACAATATCCAAGTTTCAGCATAATTATCAAAGGAATCAGAAAGTCTCTTAGTAGTATTTTTAGCTTAGAGAGTTGTGTTTCACAATTGATCTAAAAAATCTGGTTTCAGAAAATTGGGGTCTTGGGGTCCTTCACAGAAGCATTACATACAAAGAGCTCTCCTCCCTCCAGGAAAGCCCTCCCTTAGTCCTTGTGCTGTGCAGTGACTGTCTTAAAACACCCACCTGCTTTTCTCTTAGTACTTTGAATTTTGCGGTTTTAAGCTCATCCCTTACCACTACGATGAACACTCTTTGGTGTCTGACCATCTGACGTTCTGACTGTGCCCTGCCTCATTCATCCCTAAGCTCTTTGAGGTCTGGCACTGCTGCCTACCCTGGAAGGAGGTTAAAGCCCTCTCTTCCCTCTGTCAGCCAGGGCTCCCCACACTTGACTGCACAACCCAGTTAGTAAAATTGGTTTTGAAACATCTACATTGTACTTTTACTTACAAACTATACATAAGCAATACTGTATTTCTATATTACACAAAAATTAAAACAACAAATAGAAATGAGAAAAGGATGTAAACAATGTTTCACACTTGTTTATCAGCAGAAAAACTGCTCTCTTTAAAATGTTAATACACTATTTTTAGTAGTAAAAACTTTGGTGAACTTTGTGATCAGACTGCTTCATTAGTTTTCAGTGAAATATACAGCAAATCAAAGATCTGGTTCTTTGACAGCTGAAAAAGACACCTCACAGAGAATTGCATTATTGCCTGTGGTCATGAAATCTTGCTCATTTTCTAGTCATATCTGCTAAGGTTTATAGTAAAATGCAGATGATAAATTTATATCACTGATGTCAATTTGTCGCTCTAACAAACCAAGTATAAAGTTACATTTTTAATATTTTAAACAAATAGGTTCAAACCCCACTGAAATTGTTTAAAGATTTTAAAGCAGATTAGAAATTTTTGTTTCTGTTTTTTTTAAGTGCAGAAAAGCCACAGCAAATCTATGAAGGGTGTAAAAGATTTTCATGATCACTCCCCATTTAATTTTACTTTATAAATTTGTTACGGTCCTATCCAGTAGGATCCATGAAGCCACTTGAGCAGGCTGGATAATGTGCAGATCTGGGAAGGAGTGAGGCCCCACCGACAGCCTGTTCAGTGTCCCTCATATATTACCAAAGGCACCAGACTCCTTGCGGGCAGAGGAAGGGTGTCAGGGTTATAGGTATATTAAAATGATAAAATATAAATATTCTGAGTAAAACGAAGAAAAATAGGACTTTTTATTTCTTCCCCCAATGGCTAGTCTCTAGCACCATCCAGATGTACTACAGATATAGACCTGTCTGGGTTTGAAGCTGAGCCCTCTCACCCGCAAGGTGTGACTGGGCCAATCCTGTAGCCTCTCTAAGCCTCAGTTTCTTCATCTTCTAGAGTAGTGGTACCTACTTTATATTTATAGTCTCGTGATGACCGATTGAGATGATATATATAAAGTGTTGGGAACATAGTTGCTATTGTTATTGAAAGTTTACAATTCGATGCTTTATAGTAGCCTTAGAAGGCAAAGCAAGTTTCTGCCCCCAAATTAAAAGATAAAACAGGCTCAGGGAAGTGAAGTGGTTTGCTGTAGATCACACTGCCACAACCTAGTCCTGTGTCTGACTACTTCATTCTGGGGCTCCGTGTATCGTTTTAAAAAAACATTTTAATTCTTTATTGAACCATGGCAGGCATACAGAAAAATGCACATATTTATAAGTTGTACGTATGGCTCACTTTTTTAAAAACCTATGTAACCAGCAGCCAGATGAGGAACGGGATATCACGGCACTCCAGGAGTCCCCTCGCAATCTCTTCCAGTCACCATCCCTTCAGAGGTGACAATGCACTGACTTTACAGCATACGTAGGTTTCACCTGGTTTACTGAAACCGTTTTTGTCTGATGTGTGCAGAAAGGCAGGGTTGTGAGCCGAGGCCTTTGAAAACACAGAATTTTTGCATTTTGAATATCCACGTATCTGAATACTGCATTTAAGGTCATTTTAATTTCAGTAAATAACATTTAAACTTAGGAAATGCTACGGGAGTTTCCTACCAACGAGACATAGGCTAGCAAGGAATAAAAGACTAATTTCTCTCAGGCATCTAAAATCCACACTAAAAAAAACCTCTTTCTAGCCATTATGTATTTTATAGACGCTCCTCCTGCAGCCAAGCCCTAGTTGTCTGACATCCTCATCCTTACTCTGATCAATGATAAATATCTAAAGCCATCTTTGGTGGTTAGAGATACGTAGAGAAAAACTACAACACAGAGACGTGGTAGTGTATTCTGCTATTCCTGAGGGCTTTATATTCTTTTCTATGAAATGTTTCCATTGGTGTAACTTAAATATAACTTCTCTGTTAAAAATTACAGATCATCGAATATGAGAAAAAGCAAACCCTGGGACAGAATGATACTGGATTTAGTTGTGACGGGACTGCGAACACATTCAGGGTCATGTTCAAAGAACCCATAGAGATCCTGCCCAGTGTGTGCTACACAGCATGTGCAACACTCAAAGTAAGAGTCCCCGGCATGCTCCAGATGGTGGACCCGGGGGCCATGGTTTCCTCTTGCGTGTTTGCAGGAGAAGCTGAGAGTCGCTGACTGTAAAGCCTTTTAGGAAGAAGGGAAGGGAAGAGCTTGGGAAAAAAAGTGCCTCTCAGCACAGCTCTGCTGTGCAAGAAATGGTCTTCAAAAAAAGTAGCCCTTTGAGTCAGAGAATGAATGTTTGACAGAAGATAAAATAAAATTATTATTTTCTTGGAACCATTTCACTGTTCTCTAGTAACTGAGCTCTGCATTCAATATTTTTAATCATTAATTAGCCGTGTAGCAAAGACAACATTTTTATTAAATGACTTGGTGTAAGATTTTATACAAGAGCTATATTGAAACATGAATAGAATTAAAATACCACCTTAAATTGAGTGTTTATTAAAGGAAAATTACTAACGAACCTTTCATTCTCATTTAGGGGCCAGATTCCCATTATGGCACAAAAGGATTGAAGAAAGTAGTGCACGAAACACCTACTGCAAGCAAGACGGCTTTTTTCTTCTTTAGTTCCCCCGGCAATAATAATGGCACTTCAATAGAAGATGGACAAATACCAGAAATAATATTTTACACATAATTTAGCATTGTGATACACCTTGGCTAAATAGTACCATACAGTCTAGTTTCAAAGGCATAGAAAACTGGCCACAAAAAAGAGTTTGAGTGTTATGAATATTTATAATTTTAAGATAAGAAACATTTTAGTTTCTTAGAGGAAATAGGTAAATAAATGGTGATCTAAACTGCTGCATGATTTAAAGGCAGATTTTCCATTTTCTTACAACCTTAGGGGGAAAGATTACCTGGGTTTAATAGTTTAAAAAAAAAAAAAGCAGCTATTTCAGCTTTATCTTGTATAATTTCGTAGATACTGACTCGTGATCTTTCAACAGTTTTGTTATCGAAAGAATTTTGTTTTATGTAGCTAGTTTGTTTTTAACTATTTCGAAGGTTAAATGAGATGGGCATTTGGCTTAACTATTTTGAAGGTTACAGGAGATGAGATGGGTCAGTATTCTATTAACTCAAATAACTAATTTCAGACAATTAAGAAAACTGACATATTTGGAGTTTTGAAATATCTGATTGTTAGCATTTGAAATATTGCTAGAAATAGGCCTAATAAATGCCCAAGAAAATTTTCAATGCATTTACAGCAAAGGATATTCTGTAATAGTATAGTAATGTGTTACATAGTACAGTTTTAAACTACAAGTAGAATTAGTACAAATTCACAATAATGTAATATAAAGAAAAGATCTGAAGGTGTAGTCTAAGACTGGATTCTTTATCACTGACCTGCACCACTATACCTGTCTGTCTGGAGGATGCTGCCGAATGCTCCCAAGGTTGAGACGAGGATTGTGGTGGTGGTGACTGGGTAAACGGACGTAAGTTCAGCATCGCGGCAGTAATTTTACACAGCAAGAAACGGATAAAATACTAACATTTCTAACAAACTAATTTGAAATTTTAAATATCCAA